CGGAACCGGGGGGCGGGCGTAGGGGGCTCCCGCTGCCAGTCTTCCATCTTCCCCGTGTTTGACAGTTTCCACAGTAAAAGCTGGGAAATGTAAAATAGATTGGGGCACACCAACCACAAATAGGGAAGAAAAGAGAGGTGGCGGGAGGCCCCGCCAGAAACCCTCCGCTCCCAGCCCCCACTGCTCAGGATGGACGTGGGGGCGCCCTCCACGCTCCCGCCCCCACGCCTTCCGGGCCTGAGGTGTTTCCCACTCCCCCACCTGCCCCTTCCCCCTCCGCCCAGGAGCTCAGTGCAGAGCCCACGAGGAACTGGGCTCCGCAGGGCTTGCACCGCCACCTGCTGGTCGGAAGGCTTTCTGCACCGGGTTCCCGTCAGTTTGAGGCTGTAGGGAGTGGGGGGCCCCTCCCCACAGTAAATAGGGGTGGCGCCCATGCCCCCTCCTCCCCAGAGAGATGCGCACCCCCCTTCCCTCCGCTGCTCTCTGCCAGCTGGGGGCACGGGCTGCAGGGCCTCCTCTGTGCCCCCCACAACACATCGCAGGGCACAGCCCAAGACCACCCTCTCTGGGTGCACGGGAGCCCCCACCCCTTGCCTCTCCCACGGACGCGACAGAGGCAGGGAGGGGCAGGGAGGGGCCTGGAGCCCAGCCGGGAGAGGGCGTGCACAGGCCTGTGGTCAGGGCTCAGGGGGCTGGGGCTTCGGGCCAGGCCCTTCATCTCGGACCCAGGAAGTGAAGCTGACGGGGCGAGAACAGGTCCAGGAAGCCAGGACCACAGCCCCGGCCAGGTCGGGGTGGAAGTGCCCAGGACCCAGAAATATGCGGGGACAGCAGAGAGAGGGACACTGAGGACAGGGGGACAGTGAGGACAGGGGGACAGTGAGGACAGGGGGACAGGAGGACAGGGGGACAGTGAGGACGGGGGGACAGTGAGGACGGGGGACAGTGAGGACGGGGGACAGTGAGGACGGGGGGACAGGGGGACAGTGAGGACAGGGGGACAGGAGGACAGGGGGACAGGAGGACGGGGGGACAGTGAGGACGGGGGGACAGTTAGGACGGGGGACAGTAAGGACGGGGGGACAGTGAGGACAGGGGGACAGTGAGGATGGGGGGACAGGAGGACGGGGGGACAGTGAGGACGGGGGGACAGTGAGGACGGGGGGACAGTTAGGACGGGGGACAGTAAGGACGGGGGGACAGTGAGGACAGGGGGACAGTGAGGACAGAGGGACAGGGGGACAGTGAGGACGGGGGGACAGTGAGAACAGGGGGACAGGGGGACAGGGGGACAGTGAGGACGGGGGGACAGTGAGGACTGTAGGGAGAGCAGAGAGCGCCGGCTCTGCCGCTGGTGGCCGCGGTGCCTCACTGCTTCAGGCAGGTGCCCAGCCCGGGGCGGGCGGCCAGTGACAGTGGCCCGGCCCTCCTGGACCCACACCACCATCAGGGCCCAGCCTGGACGTCCACACGCCCGGCCTGCAGGCCCCCCCCCCCCCCCCCCCCCCCCGCTGAGCCCAGGACAGCGCCTCAGTGGAAATTCCCTCCTGGAGACTCTCCCCGCTGAAATGCAAGCGCTTGGAACCAGATAAAACAGCTTAATTCGCAAAAGCCACAGAGCCTTCCCGACCGACCGAACGGGGCTGCAGGAGCGGCCCTGGGTCTCAGCAGCCAGGCCTGCTGACTCACCGCCCCGACCAGCCCCAGGCACCTTGTGTGTGTGGGGGGGGGGGGGGGGCGGGATGAGGGCGCCAGGCCCCGGCTCACAGCCTGGGCAGGAGCCAAGGTCTCCCGAGGCCGCCCCCGCCGCCCCCGGCCCTTCCCGAGGGTGGGCAGACCTCGCCTCCCGCCAGCCCTTCGTGGGCAGCTGCGGGGCAGTGGCTGAGAGCTGGCCGGACACGCCTTCGACGCCAGCCCAGTGGGCATGCGCGGGGACAGCCCCGTGGAAGTGGGCAGTGGGGGTCTCGCTGGGCAGCCCCTGCGCACCTCCCCTGTGCTCGTGTGGGCGTGGGGGTGCCACAGCCACCGTTCCAAGAGACAGAGGGGCGTGCTGGCGAGAAGGACGGAGCCCCAGCAGGGAGGGGCCCCCAGAACAGGCTCTGAGGCCACAGGCTGGGCCTGCCCAACCTCGCCGTTTACAGATGAGGAAACGGGGGCCGGGGCCGCGGGGGGGGGGGGGGGGGGGGGCTCGCGTCCCAGGGCCTGGAGACGTGCTGCGTCACCATTACAGACCAAGGTCAGGTCCGCCCAGGCCTGAGGGAGGTCAGGGGCTTTCGTTTCCATTCCCGCCTGTAACCAGTTTTTCCGCTTTGAAAGAATGAGTTTTAGGTTTTGTTTGTCGCGTTTGTTGCTGTTTTTAATCCTCACCTGAGGATACCTTCCCATTGATTTTTAGAGCGAGGAGAAGGGAGGGAGGAGGAGGAGAAAGAGAGGAACGTCGATGTGAGAGAGACACACTGACCTGGGCCGGGGATGGAACCTGCAACCGAGGTGCATGCCCTTGACCGCAATCGCACCCTCAACCCTTTGGTTTTGGGGCCAACGTTCTAACCATTTAGCTGAACCGGCTACGGTGAATTTTTGTTTAAGCAGCATTTTTATTGATTTCAGAGAGAAAGGGAGAGGGAGAGAGAGAAGCATCAACAATGAGAGAGAATCATGGATCGGCTGCCTCCTGCACGCCCCGCCCTGGGGATCCAGCCCACAACCCGGGCCTGTTGCCCTGACCAGGGATCGAACCCTGACCTCCTGGGTCATAGGTCAGTGCTCAACCTCTGAGCCACAACGGCCGGCAGGACATTCTTTGTTTGTTTGTTTTTTAATAAAAATGCATACGAATGAGGGTTTCATAGAAAGCCCTGCCTTTCCCTCAAACAGCCCGGGAGGAGGCTCCCCGTCACCCCTTCCCGCGCCGTCCCCGGCAGAGGGCGGCCTCAGCCCAGTGGTCAGGCCGCAGAGCCGGCCGCTGTCGAGTTCCTGGGGTTTGCTGGGCCCGGAGGTTCCACGATGTGACGGTCACTCCCGCGTCCCCAGCGACCGTCCCCCGCCACCTCTGTGTGCCAGCTCTCTGGTCCCCTGTGGTCACCATCTGGACCGGGCTTGGTCATCTAAAACGAAGGCTGGACCGAGGCCCCGACACGAGCTGTCTGCCTCCCCCTCCCCCCGCACCCTCCGCCCTGGCGTGCAGACCAGATGTTCCCCCGTGATCTGCTCCAGGACCTGAGCAGAGCCCACATCTGCCCATCTTTCTGGCCAGGGCAGTGGCCATCCTGCCAGGCCTCCCCCGGGCCTCTCGGGTGGCCTCTGACCCGTGGCCCTGCCACGCTGAGAACAGGAAACCCTGGCTCCTTAACCCCGTCTGCCCCCGCGGGCCCACGTCACCAAGCTCAGACATGGACGGGTGGCCTTCCGCCCGAGTCCACGGCTGCCCCGCCTCCCGTGGTCAGCCCGCTGTGCCAGTGTGTGCGTGCCCAGCGGCCCGGGCACCCTTACGCACCCACGCACACGCTCCACCAGCCGCTCTGGTGGCCGGCCCACGGACACAGGTCTTCCTTCCGCCCGGCCTCATCCAACACGCCCCGTGGCAAACAACAGCCCAGGCCACGGCAGTGCGACGCGGCACCCTCGGCCTCACGGTGACCCAGGGGTCAGCTCGGGACACTGAGCGCAGAGCGAGGCAGCTGCCCGAGGATTTCACAGCCCTGCTCGGGGACCCGGCACCCAGCTCGAGGGGTGCGTGGTTAGCGGCAGACGCCACAATGAGCGGGAATTAGTCACTCACGGTGCAGTCAGAGCTGACACAGCCCGGCACGCGAGGCCGGCCTGACCTGGAGAGGGGGCCTCCTCCCGGACCCCTGCAGGGCAGCCTCCCCCCTTCATCTGGCCGCCCCCGCCCGCCTCAGGGTCCCGGCCACACGGTCTGGGCCTGCTCTGTGGGAGCTGCCAACCTGGATGGCCACTTGGCCTGTCTCTGGGGGCTCACAGCTCGAGAGCCAGCCGCCTGCCCTGCCTCCGGGCCCTGAAGTGTGGGCAGATGCTTTACACCGTGATTCTGAGCAGAGCCCACATCTGCTCATCTTTCTGGCCTGAAATGTCCCTCGTAATGGTGGCCACTGTTCCCCTCTCCATCCCAGGGCTCCCTGGTCAGCACGGGACCCGACGACACCGTCACCCCCCAGCACGATCCACACGCGCAATCCACAAGATCCACACGCGCACACGCGCATCTGCCCGTCTCCTCTGGGCACTGGGACCTCCTCCCTGTAATCAAGCCCCGGGAAGGCACCAAAATGCTATTTCGGGGAGGAGACCACGGCGGCCTTGCAGACAGACCGGCTGGCAGTGACAACACAAACCGCACGAAGGGCCAACAAGCACCAACCAGCGCCCTCAACTCCGCCCCATGCCGCCTCCCAGGTCCCCCCACCCGCCCGGAGTCCAGGGCCTCGGCCCATCCCGGCTGCTCCCCGTGCGGCAGTGAGTGGCACGGGGGGGGGGGGGGGGGGGGGGGGGGGCACGGGAGGCGGGGAGGGGACTCAGTGCGGCTTTGCTTTAGGAGCATGACCTGCCACGACCTCGGAACGGTCACCAGAAGGAGGAACACGTCCACAAGAATGAGCCCAAGTCACCGCTGGGCGCCGACTCCCGAAGCATCAGGGAGGCTGGGGGGCGGGGGGCTCCCTACCTGAGATCCGGTCTCTCTCCATCACTTCGACAGACTTGGCAGCGGGCGGAGTCCCGGTCCCCTCTCCAGAGGCGTCCTCCCCTTCCTCCCGTCGCCCTCCCTCCTCCTCCTCCAAAACACCCTTTGTCTGGTCTAATGTCTTCAATCTGCTGCGATCGCGAACCCTCCGATCACATCTCCATGTGCTGCTCATATGTGTGCCCCGCGCTGTGTAGCATTGTCTCTAAATCAGAGCGCCGGGGAGCAGGAAAGCGAGGAGGAGGAGGAGGAGGAGGAGGAGGAGGAGGAGGGGGGGGAGGGGAGGGGAGGAGGGGAGGGGAGGAGCGAGGGCAGCCGTGGGCCTCGAAGGGCTCCCACGGCCCGGGTCCCGGTCCACGGGCGGGCAGGCAGCGGGACCACGGAGGGAGGACCGTGTCCAGGCTCGGCGGCGGCTCGGTGCTTCCGGCGGCCTCTCTCCACCCACTCGGCTCCTTTTTAATATCCACTTGGAGAAGCTTCCCTGAGCCTCTTGGAAGCCAGCTCGGCGTCAGATTCCTGGCCACGTCCACCGCCTCTCACTCCCCAGCTCCCGACGCCACGGCTTCCTCTGGTCCAGGCGTCTGAGCAGCGGGGTCCGGGCCGGCCTCGCCTGCCCTCAGCGGCTGCCCGGCGGCCGCACCCCGGCCCAGCTCGGCCGGAAGGAAGGAGGGGCGGCCGCACCCCAGGCGGCCGTTCAGGAGCACCTGCCCGAGGAGCCCACGCAGCAGCTGCCGTCGCCGGTGCCCGGTGTCCGCGGTGGCAGAGGCAGCGCCCCGCCCAGCGCCCGGGAGAGCGGGACAGACTTCCTGGAAGATTCCTACCACACGCATGAGTCAGTGAGTCTCAGCTGTCCCCTGGGGGAGCCGCCCGCCCGTTTCCCCAGACTCAGCGCCTCCGGCAGGGGGCAGGGCCCTGGCGGGCTGGGGGCTTGCAGCCGCTGTGGGCCTGGGGTCCCCGGGGCTGCGGGACTGGGGGGCGGGGAGCTGGGGACACCCCCTCTGCTCCGTAAGCTTCTTGTACCTCAAGGGCTGGAACGGGCAGCCCTGGGGACAGACAGAGCCAGGCTTGTTCGCCTGACCCTGTTCAAAGAAATGTGGGTCGTTCCAATGCTGGCCGCTCAGCGATTTCACCGGGAACTCCAGGCTTTCCGCTTCTCCCGGGAAGGCGAGGGCCTGTGGCCGCAGCCTGAGCCCTGCCCGGCCACGTGGGCTGGGCCGGAGGTGCCACCCCTTTGAGATGAAACCACGTCTCCCCGTTTGCCCTTGGCTCATTTTCATTATTTGCTGCCCGTCCCTCCCGGGCGGCCCCTGAGTACGCGGATCCTGCCCGCCATGGCCACCTGAGCTGGGTGGCACCAAGCCCCCGTCCCCTCCCGCCCAGGACAAGACCCCAAATGCAGTCTGCCCAGTAACAAGGGCATCTTCCTGGGTGTGTGGGGGGAGGCACGGGGGGACAATTCTCAGACTCTGGGAGACAAGCACAGCCCCCGCCCGCCCTCAGCAGAGCTGGAGGACACCCCAAAGACAGCTGCACGGACACAGAAGGTGGGACCATGTCTCAGCCAAGGGGAGCCGGGCTCAGGCGCTGTGGTGAGCTGCATGACGGCCCTGGCGATGTCACATCCCTGGAACCCGGAGCTCATGTGGAGAAAGAGTGGCTGCAGATGGACTTAGCGAAGGACCCTGAGAGGGGACGCGACCTGGATTGTAGGTGGACCCTCAATGCATCCCATGGACCCACATAAGAGGGAGGCGGAGGGAGACCTGACAGCCAGGCAGTGGAGGGGGTGGGAGACGGAGCAGAGACGGGACCATGGGAAGATGCTGGCCTTGGAGCTGGGAGGGAGGCGGCCACCAGCCAAGGGGTGCCGTAGGCCCCCAGAGCGGGAGGAGGCCGGAACGGACTCCTTAGAGCAGCGGTTCTCAACCTTCTGGCCCTTTAAATACAGCTCCTCATGTTGTGACCCAACCATAAAATTATTTTCGTTGCTACTTCATAGCTGCAATGTTGCTACTGTGATGAATCGTCATGTAAATATCTGATATGCAGGATGGGTTAGGCGACCCCTGTGAAAGGGCCATTCAATCGCTGCCTTAGAGCCTGCGGAGGGAGGGCGGCCTCCAGCGCCGTGAGACGACGCGACGCCCCCAGCGTGTGGACGTGCTAGCGCAGCCACAGGACAGCCACGCGCACGGGAGCCACGGACTGAAGAGCCGGCGTCCCCCGTGTGACGTTTCCTGCTGAGGACCGTTCCTTCTAGAACTCAACGGCCAACCAGTTCGTAAGTCAGAGCAACGGGAACCGTGGGAACTTTTTGGGTTACTTCATCTCTTTTCTGATTTTAAAAAACCTTCCTTATTGGTTTCTCTGATGATAAAGGTAACATGTTCTTTGTATTAAATTCAGAAACTGCAGAGCCCTATAAAGAAACCCCTTTGGTGACAAAGGGTCTCTCTGGCACCGATTCCGGAGGCGGCAGCGGCAGCCCCGGCCGGTGGTGGGCGGGACGAGGGCCGCCACAGCCGGTTCACCCTTCCTGGCCGCCTCCTGTCGGCGCCGCCGAGCTCACGCCAGCTCATTGCTGCGGTCGGGGCAGCTGCTGAGCGCGGCTTCGGCCCGGCCCTCGGTCTCCCCCGGCAGGGCTTGGCTCGAGGTCCTCCCCCCGCCGTGCCTAACCGTCCAAGCATCCTGGCCACGCGGGGGATCATTTGAAACCAAAAACCTGGCAGCACCGATGGGCTTGGATGAGACCTGAGTCAGTCAGGAGCCAGTGCAGAGGCCGGCGGGGAGGTGGGGTGAGGCCAGGCCGGGAGGGGGGCCAGGCCCCGGCTGCTCACTGAGTCAGGACAGCCCCCATCCCCGAAGTGGGTTCCCACGTGGCTGCAGCCCCCAGAGCACTGGTGGGCTCTGGATTCTGCAGAGCTTTCTCCCTGTCTGAGGGGCGCCAGGCACAGCAGGCACCGTAAACGGCCGAGTGGTCCCAGCGGGGGGCCGGCCTCCCTTCCTACAGCTCTTCCCACGCCGAACCCACAAACTGGCAAACCCATGAACCCACGACACATGCTGCCCCAGGGAGGCAGGGTCCCTGTCCCCGAGGCTACAGCTCTGGGAAACTGCTTGTGCCAGCCAGCCAGCCGGGCCCCGCGCCCACACCCAGCCTGGCCACGCCCTGGGGTGGGCACACTTGCCCCCCAGCCCCTTCCAGACAGCGCTCAAGCTGGCGTCTTGTCCTGCAGCCCGCAGACCTGCACCCGGGTTCCCATACTCCCGGCCCTTTCTTGGCGATGCCACCATCACCTTCGAGGGCCCGGGGCAGAGGGAGGAAGAGTGAGGGCTGACCCCTTCCAGGAAGCACATCTGTGCCTCCCACACCCCCCGGGAGGGGACCCAAAAGTAAAAGGGTCCCCGGGTCCCTGAGCTCCCACCGCCAGGCCCGGAGGAAAGGAGCGAGCACCCGGGGGGACTGCTGTGGGCAGCAGGGGCCTCAGGAAGGGGTTGCAGGATGGACATGGCCTTGCGCCGGGTGCCCATGTGGGAGAGGGCCCTGCGGAGGTGGGAGGGGGGGCTGCAGGGCACTTTCTGGGGCCTGGGCTCGGATTTCAGGCCGTCTCTCCCGCCCCTCCCCTCACGCAGGCATCCACCGTTCCTCCTCCAAGAGCTCCAGCTCCAGGGCCCTGCAACCTCTCACTTTAAAAGTCTCAACCACTGGGGTTGGCTTCCCTGAGTTATAAGGAGCCCCCTCCCCCTGACCTCCTGTGGCCGCTGCTACCGGCCCTGCCAGCTCAGCAGGCAGCTGGCCGAGACCACCAGGCGGCCAGTCTGGCTGCTGCAGCCTCCAGGGCAGGACGGATTCCGGATTCCGGGCCTGGGGCCGGCTGCATTCCTCTCCGGAACCTTCTCCCCGCTTTTTATTGCCCCTCCATCGGCTGTTCCTAAATAAATACAACCCAGCGACTCTCTGCCCCGGACTGCTGCGGGCTGACGTGTTAGGATCTGGGCCGGCTGGCCTGTTGCTTGGGAGTCCTTCCAGGTCAGGGTGGGAGGGAACCAAGACAACAGAGAGAAGCTGCGAGGTCGGGTGAGCTCCACCGCGAAGGGCCTCGCGCACAGCCATCCGTCTGGGCTGCAGCCCGGCCTGAGCCGCGAGCTGGCGCATCTTTCCCGGAGGAGGCAGGAGGCCGTGGGATCTCGGGGTGCAGATTCTGGGTCTTTATGGAGCCTGCCCGGGGCCCCTGCGTGCACACGGCCCCCGGAACACTGAAAACCCTGCCCCGGCTGCTCTTTCACTGCCCGCTGGGAGCCCGTGAGTTCCAGCGTCCGGTGCGTGCAAACTGCCGGCCAGCGCTCCCCGCGATGATGTCAGCGCTCTCTCCTGGGTCCAAGGCGGCCGCCACGTGTGCTGTGAGCGCTCGCCATCTGGCCGTGCTGCTGAGGAACGAGGTTTTAATTTGGGTCAAATAATTAAACGTGAGCCCACTGCCCTGCCAGACGGGCTTGCTTCTCCTCCTCCACCTGGAGACTCACGGTCTCCACAGACTTCTCCCCAGAAGGCAAACGAAAAGACAGGCCACGCTGCCGTCATCGAGGCAACAGAAGGTTGACGTTTCCACCTAAACTCGGTGTTGCCCCCCCCCCACCCCCGCTTCTCCTGCTGGGTGCGACTCAACAGCATTTACTGCCGCCTGCTGAGGGCCACGGAGCACCCAGCCGATGGGGCAGGCAGTGGAACCCCAAGGCTGAGCTGCTGGGGGGCTGACAGCTTGGGCCCAGGGTACCCCGGAAGGAGAATGCCTTCAGCGGTGAAAAAGTGGGGGGCTGTGACCCCGAGGCAGCCTACGCCTGGGAGCAGGGAGGGAGGGAGCAGGACCGAGCGGGGATGAGCACTGGCCTCGGGTTCGAGTTCGCCCTGTGGGAAAGGACAGCCGGACTCTCTTTGATTTTTTGATCTCTGGGCCTTTTGTCGGCCTCGTCCCCGCAGGGGTGCCCGCGTCTGCTGCCTTTAACGCCTCAGAGCTGTGTCGCTGACCTGACCCCGCTGCAGCCCACGGGGTGGTCTTTAGGACGGAGTATGAGTGGCTGTTGTCCAGGGCGTCCCCAAGACCCAAGTCCTCGCCTTCTTCCGCGGGCGGCGGCGGCAGGCGGCGGCCTCAGCCTCCAGCTTGACCTTGATGCTCAGCCGGGCCCCGCGCCCTAGGCCTAGCGCTGCCCCTCTGTCCCCTGGGCCCAGCACTCGTCCAGCTCCTCGTGGTTCTTCCGAGCCAGCCCGTCACAGCGGCCCGATGCCCAGGGGGCAGCTGCTGGTGCAGACCGCGCCTTCCTCCTGCAGATGTTTCATGAGCAGCACCGCCCCCCCCCCAGAGGCTCCTCCCCACTCCAGCCGCCGCCGCCGCATGGCACTGGGGTCATCCGTGACCTTCCCGAGCCCGCTGATGTCATCGCCACGCACTCCCGCGGCCGGCGCCACTCCTTCCTGCCCCTGCGAGCCGAGCGATGCGGGCACTGTCCACAGAGCTCAGGGCGGTCTGAGCCCTCAGGCCCTCCTGGTCTTGGAGCAATGCCCCCGCTCTGCCCGGGCCTGCTCCGGTGTTGCTGGAGGTCCAGGCGGGAGCCCAGGCGGTCACTCGGGGGCTGCGCAGTGTCCTTCTCACTCTGGATGCCCCTGTGCCAGCCAGACCCGCCATCCCCGAGGCCAGGCCCCCGGGCCCCCAGCCGCCCTGGACAAGGTGGAGCAGGACAGAGACCGAGCCAGAGCCCCCGGGGCCTGCAGGGAGCCTGGGAGGAGACGCTGCAGTGGGCGCTGAAGCTCACGTTGTTCGGGGAGGAAGGCGAATGGCCGAGACTCAGGCTAGGGCCATTCCCGGGGCCTGTAAGCAGCCGGTCCGGGGCCTGTCATCCCGTCTCTGGCACAGGGCGACTCAGCAAACACCCACTGCGGGGTGCAGGGGCTCCAGAGGGGAGAAGGGGAGGGGAGGCGTAGCCCCCACTATGGGCAGCCCCTCCCAGGGCTGCTTGGGGTAGAGTGAGTTGACAAGACTTTGGCCACCTGTTGATCTGGGGGTGCTGGGGGGCAGAGGTCAAGGACCACACTGAGGTCGTGCTTGAGGACCTGGGTGGATAGCGAGGCTGAGCCGCGGGGGATGAAGAAGCAGGTGTCAGAGGACAGAGGGAAGTGAGGAGCTCCAGGTGCTGGGAGCCCAGGCACAAGGTCCGGGGCAGCGGGACGCGGCGCCCCTTCCTCCCGCCACAAAGGCCCGCTCCCTCCAGTTTGCCCTCGTGGCCTCATACAGGGCACCTGGCCATTCAGCACATGCCCTGGGCAGCTAGTCTGTGCCAGGCAGCGTGCCGTGGGCCCTGTGCCCGCCCTTCCAGCACTTGCTGTCCATGATGAGAAAGGATGAGTGTGGTGTCTGGGAGTGTGCTGAGCACTCACTGGGCGGGGCCCCCAGGGCCTGGAACAGGGCCACCTTCCTAAGGAAGGGACGTGTGTGTGGGTGGGGGCAGGGAGGACGGGGAGGGAGCCGGACCAGACAAGCAGCATTTAGGGGATCCTTCTGTGTGTGCACGTCCCCCTACAATGCCCAGGTGGGAGGGTGCACTGGCCTCCTGGGGCTGCTGCTGTAAGGAACCCCATAGCTGAGGGGCTTACAACAGTAGTAATGGGTCTCTCACAGCCCTGGAGGCAGAGTCCAAAGCCGGGGAGTCAGAGCTTCTGGAAAAACCCTCCCTGATTCTTCCAGCTTCTGGGGCCTCGGGCGCTTCCCAACTGGCTCCTTCCGGCCCCTGTCATCACGGGCTCCTCCTGCCCCCACATGTCTGTGTCTCTCCCCTTCTCATAGGGACCCCAGCCGTTGGCGGGGGGCCCTCTCCTACGGCCTCATCTCCTTAACCCACCACGTCTGTAAAAGACCTGTTTCCGAAGCCGCCGCTTTCTGGGCGACCACGAACTCGGGGCGGTCGGCACTGCCCGCCGCTATGGCAGGACCGAGGTGGGACTGCGGAGGAGGCGCCCGCCCCAGAGGCGTGTGAGGGGGAAAAGCAGGTCCCAGCAGCGCCCGGAAGCCAGGGCAGGAGGCGGCGGCTCAGGGCCAGGCGCACGGAGGGAGGCGGGCAGCAGACGGTGCCTGGGAACTGGGGCAGAGGGTGGCCGGAGACGGCGGTCTGGGAGGCAGCTGCCCAGCGTGGCTGCTGCAGGCCCAGGAAGTGGTGAGTGTGGGACTCGCCGGAAGGGCACTTGGCCGGGCTCAGGCTGGGCGACCCGGTAACCCAGCCGATCCGCCCGAAGAAGCCCCCGCGAGGGCATTGTCAGCGGCGCTGGCCACGGAGGACCCCTTCCACGGACCCCGGGCCGCCCCCCACGCCGAGGAGCCCCGCCTGGGCCTAAGTAACCGCACCAAGCGGCAGGGATCCACGCGGCAAACCTCAGTGCTCCACGGCATGAAGCAGAAAAGAGCAGCAGCGGGCGCCCCACGCACGACGCCGCCCCACGCACGCCGCCGCCCCCCGCATGACGCTGCCGCCTGCAACACGCAGCCCACCGCCCAGACACGCCGCAGCGACCAGCGCTGATCGCACGTGGACGGGGCGTCCGCGGGAACAGGGGCGTGGCAGGGTGGCCGGGCGGGAGGGGAGGGCGCACAGGTGCCTTGTTTATTCTTTACCTTCTCGTATATCTAACGACTCTGTTAAAGGAAGACTAAGAAGAGGGAGCTGGTGGGAAGGTGGCCGAGGGTGCGTGTGAGCGGAGGGACCATGCTCAGGGCAGACACAGCGCCGGGCCTGTCCCACCCGCAGACGCGGAAACCGAAATAACGGAGGAAGCATAGCGTAGGAGGTGGCCCCTTTGCCCGGCCGGGGTCGGGGTTGGGGTCGAGCGAAGGGGCTGAGAGGCTGGGGTCCAGGAGAGAGCCTGGCCTGGGCCAAGGTCTAGCCGTGCGGAGGCAGAGACGCGAGGCGGGAAGGTAGCAAAGGGCGTCTCGCCTCCCACGCCCCGGGAGAGGATCGCGCGTGTCAGCAGGCGGCCCCATGCGAACCCAGATCCCGGCTCTGGGCTTGGGAAATTATGCCTTAGGCTTCCAGGCGGAGCTGTGGTCGCCGCCAAGTGCTGACGGCACAGAACTGGCCGGCCTGCGCCCAGGGCAGTGGCCAGGGCCCTGTCCACCCACCGCCCAAGGCGCCCGCCTCCTGAGACATCACTTGCCAAGCGCAGGCCTCCCCGGCCCGGCACACCCAGGCAGCCCCAGCCCCAGCTCCAGCTCGCCGGGGAGCGGGGAGGAGACGGAGGGGCCCCAGAGGAATGCCCCCCCCCCCCATACAGCAGTGGCCAGGCCGTCTAGTGGTTAGCGACCCGGCATGGCTGAGGGGGTGGGGGCCTTGCTTAACCAAGATGTGAGTCATTCGCCTGCCCGGGGGCCTCCAGCTGGACACCACTCTTCCCTCCCAGCCCGGCCCCATCCTGCAGCCACAGGCCTCATACACACACCGTGCGGTCATCAACGCATCACACGCCACCTCACGCCACTCCCACTCCCCCCACGCCCCGCAAAGAGCGGCCCTCGGCCACCCCACGGGTCTGGGGTGCCCAGCCCCCCGGCAGGTGTGGGCCTCTGGAGGACAGACGTGGGGAGGGGTCTGCGCTGGCCCAGAGGGAGGCTCCGGAATTGAGCGCGGAATCCCGGGGCCCAGGTGGCCAGGGACTGTCACATTTTACAGCCACGGGCCATAGGCCACATGCAGACATTCAGTGGAAAGTAATAAAAATAAATGAGTGAAATAGCTCTACACAAATGAAGGAATAAACAAAATAAAGCCAATGACGGATACGTCCGGCGTCAGCAGTCACATGGGGCTGGCGGCTCCCACATGGGACAGCACGGACGCGGGAAGTGTCCCCCGTCAGAGCCTGTGGCCGGGGGGCCTGGAGGTGGGAGTGCGCTCCGGTGGGACGTGGCCTCCGCCAGAATGACCGCTCCGTGAGGGCACGGCCCGCCTGCCACACACACCAGTCCCCTCGCTGGTCCCGCCTGGGGTCTGGCACCCAGTGGGGCCTCCAGGAGCTTGCTGTCTCCTCGGGGGGCAAGTCCTGTCCCCTCTGGCCCAGTGACCATGGGGAGGGGCCGCCAGAACGCGCACAGGCCGGGCCGGGCTGCTGGATGCGGCGGCAGCAGACAAGGTGGGCTCCAGTGACTGTTACATGGGGGTCGGGTCAGGGAGGCTGGGAGGCCCGGGGGAGAGGCTGCCACACTCACCCGGGCGCCGAGGCTGGGAGGCAGCTCCCCCTCCGCCCTACCTGCCCTGCCCAGGCGGGGCCCCGAGGTCGGCAGAGCCCGTCCAAGCCTGTGAGGGGTCACTGCTGTCCCAGACGAAGGGGCCAAGGCCGAGCAGCCACTTACCTGGGCCAGCCGGGTCACCGAACCTCCGGAGACGGCCGCTGGGTGTCCGCGTGGCTCCTAGAGGCAAAGGCAGAGGGCAGAGGTCACGCGAGGCCTCGGGAGGTGGTAACACTGGCACCTCCTCTCTCCGGCCCTGCCAGGGGCTCCGGAACCAGAAAGCGGTCCCTTGCCAGGCCAGAGGCTCTCGTCCTCCCAGGTGACACCTGGGCCCAGCAGCCACCTGCAGCGATAGCCGCCACTGGCGCTGGCCGGGCCCTGGGCAGCCTTCACACACATTTTCCCACCGAACCCTCCCTTCGCCGTTTTGCAGATGAGGGCGCTGGGCCTCCATGGAGTAGAGTAACTGGTCAAGACCACACGGCTACGAGGAGTTGAGGCCGGAATACACCCAACTCCATCAAACGCCCAAATCTGGAGTTGGGTACGCGTGCCAGGCGCCGGGACTGTCGGCGGGATGGAGAGAGGAGGGGGCGCCAGGCAGCCCCAGGTGTGACCCCGTCTACCTGTCTTGGGACGGGGTTTCCTGGGGACGGGGCTGTCACAGGGGCCACGGGGCTGGATCTGGGCTGGGTTGGAGCCGTCCTCTCCCCCACCCACCGGGGGACAAGAACAGAACCGGATTCCCGTGGCCTCGAGCTGCAGGGCGCCCTCCCCACGCACACGCCTCCCCGGGCGCTGCAGCCTGGGAGGCTTATGGCCCGCAAGCCCCGACGTGAAGAGATCTGCTGAGGTGCTAAGCCGCGTGCACCCGCACGGCTGCCAGGTTGCGTGCTCTGGGGGTGTCATCGGGGCAACCAGGCCCCCCTTCAGCAAGCTGCGCCCAGCGGAGGCCTTTCCCGCCAACAGCAAGGCAAGCTGCTCAGGGGGGCCCAGGCTGCAGCCCCCCCATCTGACAGCCCCTCCCGGCAGCCTTCCAGGCAGGCGGTCGTCTCGTTCGT